GGATTCTACATCTCGCCAGCAAAGGCTAGATAGGCTTCCCTGGAGCGTGCAATAATCCCTTAAGGAATAATTGTGTGGCTCTGAGGCATCCTTTGCCTTTGACTGGATGATTGAGGTGCAGCTCCCAGCTTCAGTGCACTTTAAGGTTAGTTCTTTTAGGAGATGACCAATGTCTCTCAGGCCCTGCAGTGGTGCTGTAACCCCAATTCCCAGTTTCGCACTCCAAATGTCTGTTGATATTGTTTAACCCAGAGTTAATGACCCAAAGATGTGGCCTGGCCTGTTTAGATACCCATGGTTGCACTGGAAGGTGTCATAGCCAAATCACAGTGGTTGTGTAAGGAGCTTCCCCGCCTCAACAGCCCTCCTAAAAGGTGATCTGACTAAAAGTGTTCCCTCCACCCCCAGGTCACAATGTGACTGGCCCCTTTAAGAGAGAGCCGACTCCAGTGCACCTGTGACTGATTATCTGCAGCCCCACTGGGCTTAAGGTAAGGCACCTGTGCCTTATAAAGTGGAGAGTAGAAACTGTTCAGGCTGCAGTGGGTGGTGGTTTCTCTCTCAGGCTTCAGGTGATTAGCTTGTCCTAACTCAGAGACTTTAAATTTGGGAGCTCTGCACAGGGTCCTGAGGTGAGGACCTTATGAACTGATTATTGTAATTACTCCTTTCCTGAAACTTCATTAAAGATCACATGCTATTCTGTGAATATATGTTGGCTTGCTTCTCTTGGCCCAGATCTGTTAAAGCTGAATTTTATTTTCACCCCAATAGAGGGAAATTAAGGTAGGTCACACCTGCTGTGCCACACTAGGCCACAGGGGGGCAAGTGGGGACAGCCCATGCTTTTATACCCCATTTCTGGCATCTGATATCCTACAAGTCCCTGAAGATCAATTCCAGATCAGTTTCTAGCTAAAAATATTGTGTCTCTAGCAACTTTAATGCACAGCTGGAGGAAACACCCTTGTAAAATATAACTACAAAATAGGATAAGAAGCATTCATCCCTGGGACAATGGGATTTAATATTTCAAATTCCCTTAAGTGGCTGAATCAGCGACACTAGAGATGGGAAAGACCTATTCGTTTTCCTGGACATCACCCAGAGAAGGGTTGTAATATATGATATATTTACTAGTGCTTTGTCCAATAAGTTTTAAAAACCCCAAGCATGAGGGCTTCCACTGCTTTCCTTAGAGACTATCCCATACCCTGATACCTCTCCATCTAGATTTTCCTGATACTGAGCTAACATTTTTGTAATGCCATCCCCTTTCTCCTAGGGGAGCCCCTCGCTTTCATATACACCCACTAATAATTCCTTTCCCTCCTTAGGGTTCACACCCTTCAGATGCTGCCAGACTGTTAACATGTTAACATCTCTCAAGCACCCTGATCAATTTTGTTGCTCTTCACCCAACTCACTCCAATTTGTGTCAATACCCTTCTGGAAATAAGGTGCCCAAAACTGAACAAAATATTCCAGGCACAGCCTCATCTGACCCATATAGAGAGCGATAATCATCTCTCTGCTCCAGGACACCTTAGAGGTGTAGCCTCAAAATTCCACTGGCCTTTTTTGTAGCCCTTTCACATTGCAAACGCATTTGATTTGTTGTCAGCTGTGTCCATTAAATGATTGTAAACTTCAGGGACTTTCTCTTCATACTTGCTTGCAGAGTGCACAGCACAAAGAGGGTGCTATATGCATAATAAATCAAATAAAATAAAACAATGCATCTCTTGGCTAGGTCTCTTTCAGCATTTCTGCTTCTTAGGTTTCTTCCTGTCACTGAACTGCCTAAATTATTTTTCCTTGGCTCTTTCAGGTGTGTGTTCCCTAGCTGAATCTCCTTGTTTAAGTGTGATTTGCTTTAACACAAAACTTATTGCCCCCAGCTCAAGGTAAGTCTATTCTGAATCTCATTATGATAGATAAAGATGAATTAATTACTGGACTGGAAGTTGGTTGTTACCTAGGGACCAGTGATCATGACCTGACTACATTCAATATTGGAAAACAACAGGACAGTCATAACTAGTAATATCTTCAAAAGGGCTAATTTCCCAAATCTGAGGAAAACTGTGAGCGAAATTGATTGGGAAGACAAATTTAGACAGAAAAATGTGAATAAAAATTGAGACTTCTTTAAGAATAGTTTATTATGTGGCTAAAAAGCCATCATTCTACTAGCAAAAAAGAGAACAGCTTTGGCTAAAAGCATATCCTGGTTCAGCAGTGAAATGAAGGCAGCAATTAAAAATAAACATTTAATATACATATAATAAATGGAAGAAGGACTAGATAGCAATCTGTATATATTCGAATTTATTAAGTGCAGAAAATTGATGAGGGAAGCTAAAGAAACCCAAAAAAAACCCATAGCTGCCAGGGTTAAGGATAAGAAGTTTTTTCAAATATACTAGGAACAAAAGAAATTCTAGCAATGGAATAGGCTAGAATGAATATGGTCAAATAATTAATAATGATACAGAAAAGGCAGAAGTGTTCAATAAATAGTTATTTTCTGTATATGGAAAAAGTAGGATGAAATACTCATATCATAGGAGAATGACAAAGTGCTGTCCAGTCCACTAATAGCTGAGAAGGATGTTAGACATTTGCATTGAGTGATGAACATTTTTAAATCAGCAGTCCGAGATAACTTGCACCCAAGATCCTAAAAGAGTTGGTTGAGGAGAGCTCTGGTCCACTGATGTTAATTTTTAATAAATCTTGGAATACTAGCAAAATTCCAGAAGACCAGAAAGGTGCTAATGTTGGGCAATATTCAAAAAAGGGCAAGTGGGATGACGCAGGTACCTATGTGCTAGTTTGACTGACATCAGTGTAGGCAAACTAATACAAAAGCTGATATGGGATTCAACTGATTTAAAGGACAGGAATATAATTAATGCCAGTCAACACAGTATTATAGAAAATAGGTCTTGTCAATAAATCCAATTTCATTCTTTGATGAGATTATAAATTTGTTTGATAAGGGTAACCATGTAGATATGTCCTTAGACTTTTATATGCTGTTTGACTCAGTACCACACAACTTTTTTATTTAAAAAAGGCACTATGCAATATCCATAAAGCACACACTATATGTATTAAGAACTAGCTAACAAGCAGATCTCAAAAAATAGTTGTCAATAGGGAAATAATCGTTGAATGTGGATTCTCTGACATGGATGGGTTTGTTGTACCAAGAAGCAGGGCACTGCTGGGACCAGTCATCCTGCAGGCAGCCCCAGTGCAGGCTGGGGACTGTGGTCTCTGAAGGGGGTTGCACTGTGATATGCATACCCAGCTCTGGCAGGACCTGGAGCTGCTTCCCCAGCCCTAGGAGGGTGAAAGGAAGCAGGTACCAAGGTGTGGAGTGCACAAGAACACACGCACCTGGAAGGTACCACACTGTGTGTGTGTGTGGGGGGGGGAAACACATCCTCCCCTTCCCCCAGAAGGTATCACAACATGTGGGTGGCGAGACATGGCACATCTTGACCTCCGCCCGGTACACCGGTGGGGGGCAGCTTCAGCCTCCAGAAGATATACCAGTGTAGGGGGGGTGACAGCCTCACCCCCCTCCGAAAGTACCACAGCGTGTTGGGGGCCCATCCGGCCACCCCCAGAAGGCACTACAACACGGGGGGGGGGGGGGGGAGCACCTCCTCACCCCCTGGAAGGTACCACAACGGCTGTGGGGGGTAACCACAATCCGCGCGGGGGGGCACATCCTCATCCCCCACAGAAGGTACCGCGGAGCGGGGGAATTAATAAGCCCCCCCGCCGGAGCGCAGGTGTTCAGCGCGTGAGCTCTCCCGTCGCCTTTGCGTGACTTCCGGCGGGCCGTGGGCGGTGTGTTTCCGGGGTCACGGTGTCTAATCCCCCCGGAACAGTTCCTTCTGCTCGGAGCCGGCGCTCCGGTAATTTGCATGGGGAAAGCACGGCCCCGGCCCGGGGGATGGGGCGTGGCGGGCCGGCGTGAGGGGCGAGACAGTGGGGGAGGGGTAACCTCTCTTGCCGTGGGACCGAGCGCGTGGTGGGGGGGGGCGGTCTCCCCCCCGGAGTGGAGCGCGCGGGGCGGGGGTGGGGGGCTCGGGGCTCTGTCAGTGGGGGGGGGGGTCTGTGACATTGAGACAGGACCTGGGAGGCTGCCAGTCTTGCCCCTGTCGCAGTGGCCGGGGCCTGGCCCGTGTGTCTGCTGTGCCCGACTGATCAGGATCCCCTGCCCGGTGGCAGGAGCTGACTCCTAGGGAAATCGGCCCCCGCCGAATGCCACATGGGCTCCAGCTGTGGTGCCTAAGGCGCTGACAGCCCCGGCTGGGAACAGATGAGGGTAATGCTTGGCCCTTGCTGCTGGTATCCAGGCGTCCCTGGGGTGTGACGAGAGGAGACACGTCCCAGGAAATAACCCAAATGCCCATCCTGCTCCCTCGCACCAAGTCCCTAGGGTCTGCTATAGAAGATGAAAAGATCAGTTTATGCAATTGTTGCATCAGGGAGTTGATCCTGTGCGATGTTTATAGAGATGATCCCTACTCAACACTCTAGGGGAAGACACAGCCTTCCCCTCGCCCAGCACATCTCTCAGAAGGTCTCTGTGCAGGTGAATGTGAATCACAGTAGCCACAAATGTAATCCTATTTTTTTCCTAGTGCCAGCCCCAAATCAAGCTCCAAGTAATAACTCAAATATAGTATTTCAGCCTTTATTCTCTTCCCCTCTCCCCACCGCTTATCCACTCACCATATGTCCCTAATCCCTGTTTGCCAGAAACTGGGAATGGGCGACAGGGGATGGATCACTTGATGATTACCTGTTCTGTTCATTCCCTCTAGGGTGACCAGATGTCCTGATTTTATAGGGACAGTCTCGATTTTGGGGCCTTTTTCTTATATAGGCTCCTATTACCCCTCACCCCCGTCCTGATTTTTCACATTTGCTGACTGGTCACCCTAATTCCCTGTGGGGTACCTGGCATTGGCCATTGTCGGAAGACAGGATAGTGGGCGATGGACCTTTGGTCTGACCCAGTATGGCCGTTCTTGTGTTTATGCAATAAAGGACATTTACAGTTTGAAGGTATCTGCTGTTTAATCTACTATATATTTGAGGAACTGTTGCAATAAGAATTTGTTTCTGTATCTACTACTCTTCTCCTGTCTGTGCACTGCAGTACTTTCCAGTATAATTAAGACATGTACTTCTGGAATGCTACACATCTGATTGCTCAAATGACATAAATGTCATAAATGCTAATTGGCAGTTACACACAGCTTTGTAGGGGAACTCAATGAAAACTTCTTGCTGCAAGCTGATACTCAGAAGAATTTCTTAGGACAGTGATTGTGACTTGACCAATGCTTTATGCAGAGACTTAGAAAATTTCAGTCAGCTGTAGTGATACAGATCTTTTGGTGTAAGAGACCTAAAAATCCCAGTCAGGACAATTTATATCTAATTAAAAACTGAAAGTAAATGAAGTGCTAATACAAACTTATTTCTCTTTGATTTACTGTTTGCAGTTTATTGGTGGCACAGCTCCATAACTGTCATCATCAACTGACTTATGTGCAAAAGCTTCTTCTAATATTATTATATACTGTTTTGGGGGATAAAATAATGACATGGTCTAGTAATCTGATTCTAGGACAGGGAGACAGGAACTCCTGAATGCTAATTCTGGCTCTAATACCAATTCCCATTGTGCCTGTGATTGAGCCACTTAGCCTCATTGTGCCATAATTTTCCCACCTATTTATTAGAGATAATACATACTATGTAAATACTGATAGTATGGGGATTATTTGTTGTGTGTGTTGTTTTGGACAGACTTCCTGCTAACTAATGTCAGGAGACAGTGATTGTACCCGAACAAGCCCATCCGTGGGGTCTCCATCGGATAATGAGTTCCTGCCAGATCGGCCAAGGTATGTGTGCTCACTGTCTCCTGACCTTATTGCCAAGGCTCGTGAAGAGCTGCAGGAGAAACCTGAATGGAGGCTTCGTGATGTGCAAGCCCTCCGAGACATGGTGTGTAAGGATTACCCTACTCTGGGCACGTGTCTGGACGATGCTTTCTTGCTAAGGTTCCTTAGAGCCAGGAAATTTGATTATGACCGAGCGCTTCAGCTTCTGGTGAACTATCACAGCTGCAGGAGGAGCTGGCCTGAGGTCTTCAATAACTTGAAACCATCTGCAATTAAGGCTGTCCTAGCATCTGGCTTTGTCACTGTGCTGCCTCACTTGGACACTGAGGGACGCCACGTTGTCTGCATTCGTCCAGGTATTGTAATGCCTGAATACCCTGATTGGAACAAGATTCTTTGTGTGTTTGAGGTATCTCTGACTGTGCCAAAGTCTGTTTCTTGCTCCCTTGGGGACACTGGTGACTCTTACAGATTACATGGCATTGCTTCCTTTTGAAATCTGAAAAGTTACTTGTGAAAGGATTAATGTCTGTTGTTTCCCAATTTAGATCACTTTTTTTCCTGTTTTAACAATAGCTGCAGTTGAGTAAAACCAAAAACACAAAGTGGGTTAATGTGGTTGCCTGATGATTTGAGAAAAATATGAATGTGCAGTCAGCCTGAGATAGCAATAGGTCTGCTGTCTTCTAGATGCAAGTTTATAATAAGCCTCTTCGACAACAAGCTGGGGGTTCAAGGTGGGGCAAATCTGCTTTCAGTGCTGCCAGGTTTGCTGTAAACTGTTTTCATACTTTGCTTTCCCATTTACCTGCTTTCTTTCTGAGATGAAATGATTTCTCTTCTAGTAATCTGTGCTGGGGAAAGTAGGGGTTTCTTAAGACCAGGGCCTTTGCTCCTTGAAGTAAATATGGCATCTTGCTTGAGAAATGTTGCTGTGATCTAGGACAGTGGGTATTAAAGAATAACTTAGGAGTTCTGGAAAATAGATACTTTATTGGCATATATATATAGTCATTTTATATTTACTTTCCAAATAACCATACATGTTTTGTAACCTTAGACAGATGGACACCAAGTAATTATCCAATTACTGAGAACATTCGTGCCATATACTTAACGTTAGAAAAACTCATTCAGTCTGAAGAGACCCAAGTGAATGGAATTGTAATCCTTGCAGACTACAAAGGAGTCAGCTTATCTAAAGCATCTCATTTTGGTCCTTTTGTAGCCAAAAAAGTGATTGGAATTCTTCAGGTAAGACCTGACTTGTGCACTGTAAACTACTTCTTCTATGTCCAGAGTTCTGCTCATGCTAACAAAAATATTCATATGTTGGCTTTTCCCTGAATGCTTTTAAAATGTGTTTCTGCCTTCTGCCAGCTCTTAACTGGTTGATGCTGGCTGCTAGTGGGTCTGACTTTATATTCCCAGCCTCCCAAGACTACTGCTACTTTGGGAACTTGAAGTTTGAGTTGTTGAGCCCGCTTGCCATCTGGTAGGGGGAGGATACATGAAGTAAGACTAGGGAGAAGAGATCTTTGAGTGTTGATAATCTGCTCTGCTGTACAAATGGTTTTTGCTAAAGAGCTTCCAATCTAGATGGGACATAGAACCATTCACACACTGAGCCTTGGGTGATTGCGCAAATTTCAAGTGGTGCTGCTGGAATTTGGCAGAGTTGGCTTTTGAAAGGCTTCCCTGAAAGGTGTGTTTTGAGGAAGGATTTCAAAGAGGAAAGAGGTTGAGAAGAGAGAGGCTGCTCCAAGCCTAAGGGGGCAGCATAGAAGGAAGTGCAGAGCAGACACTGGTTACCTTGTCTGAGTGGCAGGAGAGGATGATAATTGTAGTTGTAGCGTTTTCTATAGTCTAGAGGGGAGCGTGATAATGTACTGTGGACAAGCTCCTGTTGAATGACTTTTTCTTCTTCCCATGAGCTTTAGTCTAGTCTGAGCTGTGCATGCTTTTTTGCTGGGTCTCTGCAGGGAGAATTGGGAGAGTTCTGTGGAGACAAGAATAGACACTTAGGCCTGGTCTACACTACCCCCCCACTTCGGACTAAGGTACGCAAATTCAGCTACGTTAATAACGTAGCTGAATTCGAAGTACCTTAGTCCGAACTTACCGCGGATCCAGACGCGGCAGGAAGGCTCCCCCGTCGATGCCGCGTACTCCTCTCGCCGAGCTGAAGTACCGGCGTCGACGGCGAACACTTCCGGGATCGATCCGGGGCACTTCCAGGATCGATCCGGGATCGATTTATCGCGTCTTAACCAGACGCGATAAATCGATCCCAGAACATCGATTGCCTGCCGCCGGACCCTCCGGTAAGTGTAGACGTACCCTGAATTGCACGCTGGCTAATACTTCTCACTGTGCTTATAGAAGTTCCACGATCTGAACATGATTGTTTTGCAAAGTTCTGTCTGAATCCACAATTAACCTACACAAGTAAAATGGGTGATAAATTTCAATTGATAAATACAGATATAATAAAATAATTACACAGAAGTTTGGGTGAGGGACTAATACACTTATTTAACTTGCCATTGAAGACCCCAGTTGAAATATGGTGTAAGTTGCATGTGAGATGCGTGCACTAGTTCTTATCCTATAGCAAATGTTATTTGGCACACTTGAAAGCCTGTGGTGAGGGAAGAAGACCCTAGGGAGTTTTTGCTAGCTAGATTTGGGGTAACTTGGCTGATGCGTGCAGAGAAGCTTGCCCAGACGCTGACCACACTATCTTGTTTTTGCAAGACTTATCAATCGCTCACTGCCAAGAGCCCCCAACTTCATTAAACATTTTACAGAGGGAAAACATTTGTGCAGTGCAAGTGTCCAGTCTTCAGTCCAAGCAATGAATGCGTTCTCTGTACAACCAGAGTTGGTTATTGGAAGAGGGGGAAGCGTCAGTAACTCAATGATGAGACCATAGTCCTTAAAAATACCTTTTTCCGTTAGTGATTCTTCCTACTGAAAGCCTCCCAGGGGAAGCACCATGACTAACCTTATTTTTTAATTTCAACTTATACTGAAGAGCCCTGTGTTCCCTTGGCAGCTGATACAGCATTCTAACCTCCCTCTCCTCCATGTGCTGATGTGCTGTCCACCAGTGCAGGGTCCATTTATCTTTCGCAATCAATTTGACCAACCGGTCAGATTTCCAGTTGAATAGTAGCAATAGGTTTTCTCCTTCTGTGCAAATACATGAATGTTTTTCCGAAGAACATGGGCTCTGATCCTTAATCATTTAAAATGCTTTGTTTAAAACATGGGTTTCTCTCTGGCCAGTCAGTGCTTTTGATTCCCCAGTAGTCTGGGGAATCCGACCCTCAGAATCCAGTGTCATTCATTTTGCTGCCTTTCAAATACTGGGGAATCCTGATCAGGGCAGAGGTTGCTAACTGATCCTTCCAGTGAAGTAATGTGCTATAATTCTTATACTGGGGCTGCTCCTGCCTTAATTAAAAACATTATATTTTTTTCAAAAGAAGGCTGGGGCGAAGGTAGAGACACAGTAACTGAAACGTACTATTGGAAGTACATCTCCTGATCCAAGAGTGCTGTCAGGCTCTATGTGAGTGCCAGACCCTCTTGTTTTTATCTGATTCTTGCACCCATATACTCTACCTCACTGCATCAATTTATACACCTCTACCCCGATATAACGCGACCCAATATGACACGAATTTGGATATAACATGGTAAAGCAGCGCTCCGGGGGGGGGGCGAGGCTGCGCACTCCGGTGGATCAAAGCAAGTTCGATATAACACGGTTTCACCTATAACGCGGTAAGATTTTTTTGGCTCCCGAGGACAGCGTTATATCGGGGTAGAGGTGTATTTGACTTGCAAATAGAATTTTGGGAGCAGTTGGGTTGTGTTGGCAGTCAGTGTCAGGAAAGTTAAATAGAAAAAGCTGTCCAGTGTTTCTAAACTGCTGTAAAAATCTCCTCCTCCCCCAGGATGGTTTTCCCATTAGAATCAAAGCTGTCAATATTATAAATGAGCCTCGCATATTCAAAGGAATTTTTGCCATCATCAAGCCTTTTCTGAAGGAAAAGATAGCAAACCGGGTAAGTGATTGTGCCTTTTAATATTGGACCTAATGACAAGCTCTTTGCTGGACATGAAATGTAAAGAATATTGAAACAGATAATAGTTGGGAATGGCAGTGTTCTTTACTCGATGTGACTATATCATCCTTTGCTTCCTGGCTTTTGTCTGGCTCTGTCATAACTTCATCGCTTGGAATGTGCTGAGGGTTAGGGAGACTGGTCAGTAGGATTTCTCAGAAGAATGACAGAAGTGGTTGACTTTCTTTGATAAATACAACTTGGCATTTTACCTGGTTAAATGCACATTTTTAGGACCTATATTATGTACTCAATATAGTAACTTTCCTCTGGAGTTGGGATTATTGGGTCAACAGCATCCTATGCATTAATGTTATGTTTGTTAGAGGAAGTCTTCTGAGTTGTCATTTCTCTCCAATTTATTCTTCCCCTTCCTTTCTCAAAGGTCCTGTGTTGTTGTAACTTTCTCATCAGCTAAACAGGTTGGATGCCGTTCCCCCTGCAGTTGGTTGATTCTTCTCTTTCACATGCAGAAGAGGATGCCTCTCTCCACAAGGCGGAGTGCTGCCTTCTCTGCACTCCCAGTCCTTGTGAATGAGTTTAGACTCAAACTGAGCTGGAAACCTGGTTATTGTGATTAAGATTTCGTAGGTGGATTGCCTTATAAGGCGAGATTTTCAAAAAGGTATCGAACTGGCTTCTACTCTTGCATGCACAATGTTGTGCACTGTCCTTTGCAAAAAGAAAATGATGTTGCTTGCAATTGTGCATGCAGAGCCAGTGGCCTCATCTTGAAATGTGCCCCTTAGAATTATTTAAAGAGCAAAATAGACTCTCCCTACTTGTCATGTGCTGGTCTCGCTGCAGTTTTAAAATGTTTAATTACAAGCTGAAAAAGTATGTGATACATTTTATTAAAGTATTTTGGGATTTTCTTCCTCAGTTTTTTCTTCATGGCTCTGATTTGAATTCTCTTCATCAAAACCTTCCACAAAGGATCCTTCCTGAAGAATATGGTGGCACGTCAGGAAAACTGGACATCGCTGCCTGGAATGAGTTGCTGCTCGCCTCAGAAGAGGATTTTCTGCATGACTTCTCTCAGCTGGTTCTCCCAGGTGACAGCTCACCATCTGAAGCTCTAGTGAGTGGGGATGCTGAGGAGAAGCAGAGTGAAGAGCCTCTGCGAGGCATGAAACCTCAACTCTACTACTGTTATTAACAAAGCCGTTAAAGGAAGCTTCCTTGCCCAGTCAGTCTAGATGCAATCTCCTGTTCTGAAAGGATTAAGAACAAAGTGGGGTTATGAACTCTTCCTTACTCCTAAACTTCCAGTTCATGAGTAGACTGCTGAGGCACTGTGGAACCAAAGCAAGTTAAAGTGGGTGAGATGGGGGCAAGGCAGAGTTCTCTTTGGAATCTAGGCAGGACACACGATTCCCAAGCCACCTCAAGTGTTAAGGGTTGTTAATCCCAGCGTGAAAGATGCCGTCTAGCAAATTCCTCTTAATAGTAGTGAGAGAAAAAATATCTCATTAGAGTGAATCTCATAAGAATGTCTCTCAGGGTAAAAGTGGCAGAAAAGACTTGCTAGTTTGGCAATCATCAGAAAATAGCATCATCACTGCACCCTACAAAGTGAAGCTCTGTCAGTGGAGATTGTCAGACATGTCCAATTCACAGTCCTGGACCTAATACCTGGTCCTGTCTGTGTACTAGCATGTTCCAGGAGTATCAGAATGCGTACTGGAGTTTCTCCCTGATATTTTGCACACTCTGCATGTGTGGAATTCCTTTGGATTTGAAAGGAGAAAGTTACCATAATTTTGTAAACATTGTGACTAGTTATTTCAAAGCATAGTGTAATCATACACAAATTCCACTTCCAGAAGATTGAGCCTTTCAGATCATGTATTGCGTAGCTTTTTTCCAATAAGATGCAACTTTGAATATTGACAACAATATAGACAACCTGAGAAGGAGTGAGGTCATTCACTCATATTCAGCATGGCTCAGATATAATCAGTTGCTCTTTCCTTCGGTTGGTCGCTTTGATGCCCTGCCTTACTTTTCAACTTCCCTAAGTAACTTAAATAGAACTTATGTGGAAAGATTTTGTAGCAGGTAGCATCTATAGAAGGCAATATTAAGTACGAGAAAACACTTTAGTTCTTGAGCTACATTACTTTGGATAGAATTTTTGAATCGGAGTCTTCGTAAACCAAATGCAGACGGATATTTTTAAGAATGTTCAGATTTGTTGTATTGCAGTTGTTCTCTGTTCATGTCTGTCCTGGTTTAAGTAACAGTTGCTATTTGTCATCCCCTTCTCTTTGGATGGCAGCTTCTTTTGTAAAGTTTAAACTTTGGTCAGTTCTGTAGGGCTTAAGCTTAGGGTGTGTTCCAGTGCTTTAGATTCTTAGTTCTAATGTCAAATGAGGTTAACATGTCCTGCATCTGTGTAGGCTATTCCCCAAATTCATTGTGTCATGGTATTGAACTTTAAATGAACTCTGAGCACATTATCTTTGCACATGTCATGCACTATATAAATAGTGCAAAGGTGAAACCTCATTACAGCCAGGAAAGCACACCCCGTTATTTAAAAGGGTATGTCAGTGGACAAGAACACTGATTGTAATCAAACACCTCATCTTTATAGCACTTTTAAAATGGCTGGAATTTCTTTTGGGGGGGTTGGAGGGAGAGAGGTTGGGAGGGTAAATCTTTTTACTGAGTGCCAAGTGGGAAACAGGGACCGGTTATCTTACTGTAAATATGAAATGCATGGTCTCAAGGAGTTGGACCATCCTTTTTCTGAGTGCCAAACTGTGCTTGTTTGAATGTCTCTTCCTAGATTACACCATAGCATGACTTTGTTGCCAAAAAGAGTTTGGGAAGGACTAGATTAGGGAAATCACAGCTCCCTGGCTTGGTAAAATGCTAGCTCTTTTATTCAAGCAATAGAAGAGTGGGATTGGGTTTTGAAAGGAATAAAGTCTAAAGCTTTTTCCAATTAGCAGTTCATAGCTCCAGTGAGGACAAGAAGTTAATATGCTGTCACTTGAACAGAAAGACTTTAACAGACCACTTATACTGGAGAGCTGGCAGGAATCTATTGAGAGAGAATATAGCTTTCTTCTTTCCTTCCCCTTTTTAGGTATGAAGGATAGTAGGAGAGACTCTCCTGCCTCTAACATCAATGCATGGCAGCCCCTGCCCCTTTCTATACTAGACTTAATTTTCATGGGGGAAAGTATTTTAGGTGAGAAATATCATTCCTGTCATTAACAATCTATCAGGCCCCAACTTTTGTGCAGACCTGGCAGAAATGCAGTGCTGGCTAGTGTCTCTTCATTTGAGCAAAACTTTCCTCTCAGATCTACTGTGCAGTGCTTAACCTTCATGTTGCTTGCCTTTACTGTGGAGATAAATCCAGCTCTTCTTCCACCTAGCAAAATAATCAAAATGTGGCATAGCTTTGCTTAAAACCATAATTGTCAACTTAACTCAATTAACTGCCAAAAATGTGTTGGGGTGTCTTGGATGGTTTGAGTGCATGCCGACTACTAATTTCCCTCTGTCCACCACCAAAATTAAAAAAAAACCCTCCAGGATACAGCATCTGTCTTTGAATTGGGTGCATGGCAGGCTTTATTCTTCCTCTTTCATTGTTGGGTGGTTTCCCCTCTCAGGCTACATCTACACTGCATTTCTCCCTAGCACTAGTATAAAAAGCAGCATAGCTGATGAAGTACTCCTTAGGTGAGTAGAGGAAGGACATGCCTAAAGCTGGTGCATATGTATCCTACTTGCCCACATGGTACCTCCCCACTCACTGCTATTTTTAGCAGCATAGTGTCCTGCTGCTAGTCTTTCCCTAAAGCAGTGAAAGGCTTTGGCACTGAGGAGCTCCCAGAGCCTTTCCTTCACATGTGTAGCTACACACCAGTGTGGATGCAGTCTGCTTTTCACTGTGGCATGTAGCTACCTCTGCCCTGCATGCCACCAGGGTGCAGTGTAGACGTAGCCTAAGTGGAACTGCTCTCAACCAGTTTGGTAACTACTGAAGAGAAAAAGCTCCATGTTAGAAAACTTAGCTTCCTCCTTAAAAAGGATTAGGGGGTCAGAAGTCTCCAGCAACCAGGGCAACATCTGATTTTTTTCAATGCTTTTGCACTGTGGCCTGCCTTGAATTCTAGTTTGGTTATCATATTTTATGTGTAGCCTCAAACCAAGGTCTTCCTTGGAAGACAAATTGCCAGTTTGTTGTACTTTATCCTTAAAATAGCTTTGCTCATCTTACTTGTAGATAGAGACTTAAGTTTTCCTCTCAGCAGAACTTTTGTTTTGGAGTTGTTAAAGACTCTTTGGAACCTAGCTTTTAAATTCATTATAGCTCTGTCATCAGTAATACAGCATAAGTAGACAAAGCCAGTATGTTATCCATTACTGTCAGCTATAACTTTTCCTAATTCCCTCATGGGGGCCGATGCTTTGCTTGTCTTCCTAGAGAAAGTGTAGACTCTCACAAGATGAACTACAGCTTAACATCTGGAAGCTGTTAATATTTTGGTACCTAACGCACTATTTAAAAAAAAAAAAAAACTTTGTAGAAAAGTTGAGCTGTCAAGCCCTTTAATGACGGTCAGCCCTTTTGGCTCAGGCTGATGTCAAATATGCTACCCATTTAGTTTTATAATGCTAACAGGCCCACAGTTCTAGTTACTCATCTTTAAAGTAGGAGGTAAGGAAGAGCAAGGGAGTTAGTTCAAAAAAATCCCTTCAGTATTAGAATTAACATAATCTGGCTGTTTCAACTAAACTTTTCTAAAAATCGGTTCCATGGGAAGCTAGCTGAGTGAGGACAATGTCAGAAGTAACAATTCTGGCTAGGCAGTAACTGAGGAAGGTGCTCAAACTGCCTTGGGCAACTTTGACTGTCTCACAGGAAGTAGGACAAAAGTTAATTGCATACTGTAAATAAAATACTTGAATTTATACTAGGGCAAATAGGTGTTATATATACAGAGGTCTTTTTTCAGGGAATGAGGGTGTTTTGGCACAAGTTCCGTAATATACATGATTGTTCAAATGATTATTTTGCTTTTTGGTTTAAGTGGCCCTAACGTTGTTGGGTTTAATATACATCTTATTTTGATAAAATGTTTATTTTTATATTGCATTTTATAAAATGGAGTGGTCAAAGTATGTACTTTTATTATGCATGATTGGGTATTAAATAATTCTACCATAACAGAATCTAGTTCAGTTTAAGTGTACATGTACAATACCCTTTTCCAAGTTAGGAGTGATTCAGTGACATCTAACCTAAAAGATGCAACTTAAAACTTATTTCACTCTGGCGAATCAGACTTTTTCCCCCTCAAGAGGCTGAAAGCAAAGTGGTCTTGCATTTGTATTTAAGTTGTACTAAACTGAGTGTGAGCTGCTACACACCTACTCAGGCAAATTGGAAATCTTGATTCTTAGATATATAGACATGAGGCCAATGCTTCAAGCAAGATGTCTACTAGGATGGTTGAAGTTTGAATAATCAAACAAAAAGTACGATCAACTTGAATGCTAAAGTCGGCTTAGTTAGCTCAACTGAAATGCCATTTGGCCATTCTAATTAAACAGTGTCTGGGAATCTTCATAGGTGAAAGTAAGATGTGACCTGAATCTGCTGAGATGCAAAAAGACATGTCTATTCCAACTAATTAACTAAGCATATTTAAGAGTACCCTTAATAGGAGATAAAAATCCAACATTAATAGACAGCATTTAGTAACTGAAGTAGGCTAGTGAGTGTGCTGCACACCATGCACCATCCAGGATAGAATATGAAATGAACATCTGTAGCCTAGTATCTACAACTACATTAAATAAAAAGGGAGTCCTAATAGCAGTCAGATAACCTTTTAATGTATTGATAATTGTACTTTAGTAGTGGATGTAGGATAGAAGATAATGGGTAGCCTTTGTCTTGTCTAGCTTTTCCATCCACTCTCCTTCCTTACCAGCCCACACAGTTGTGTGTAGTGTCCTTTGTTATAGCACTTATTGACACCATGACCAGGCCAAATTACAAGAAAAGTGGACATGCTGAGAAACTTAAACACTCTTAGGCCTGAATTGTCACTTTAATATTGTATGTGCACTAGGATGCAGTAAAAAGCTAAAAATAAGACATGAAATAACTAGTGTTAGGGGTCTAATTGTAATAGGCTGCAGTAAAAAAAACTAAGTCCGCTTTGCTATGTGTTTTGTAAGTGTGCTCATCACAAACTCACCATCCAACATGTGCTTCAGCATCAGAGGATTGTATTGAGGGTGTAGTCACCATGTTTGATCAGAGCATAGATTAAGTCATATGACACACCACTTGAGCCA